CTCCCCCATACACACCCCTAGTGTTATGTTTCTAATGTGGACTTCCACAGCTGAATTTATATGAAAATTGAAACATGTTTGGCAGTGGAAATCCACGGTTGTTGCAATTTGAAGAAGCTTTAAAATAATAATCATGAAAAAATGCAAAGTTATAAGTAACACTAAGTTTGTCCCGTAGTTGTTCTTTAATAATTTGCCCAATGGTTTATGGTTTCTTCAAATTTGCAGACCTGAATTTAAAACAATATAACAAACTAAATTATCTGTTGAAATAATAATAAGTTATTAATTTGATTTTGACAATATGTAACTTGATTTATTCTACTTAATTTATATTTAAGTAAATCATTTTATTTAGTGGTATTTAATAAATTATTTAATTTTTGCTATTAATTGATAATTAACCACTAATTTTAAATAATTTTAATTTTTGAATAATTAAACATTTTTACTTTTTACGTATACCCACACAACTGTACACGCATTCTCATAATACTGAAGGCAAATTCCCGTTTGCCCGTGTGAATCGGTACAAATAAATATGTAAATTTTGTAGCTATTTTGTACTACGAGCATGAAATTACAAACCACTATCGCACAATACGCTTTAAATTGTGCTGTGTAATACGCCAAATGTTACCAACCACTTCCACGTAACACTAAAAAAAACTCTTAATTTGACCTTGAAACTTTGTTATCACAATTTAATTGCACTATTTAATATCTACATGTTTAAAATTTTATATGCATTTTTGTTATATAAATGTTTATATGCGTAATTTCATGCTCACTAGAATTAGTGATTTGAGAATGCTAGTGAGATATCCTTTTATCCTTGTATCCTAATGTACCAAAATAACGAAGTTAGTGAATAGGAATTCCTAGTGAATACTCGATATACGAGTCGAGTGAAGTGCGTGGCCGCCAGACAGTTTACGCCCGTATTGTCATCGCACTAGAGTATTTTTTTCAGTGCCCCCCTCACCCCCAAGCCGACGGTTGTCGGATGATTGTCGGATCCCGTATTGGCCGGCTAACCTCCTCTGGATATGTTTGTCGCTTGCTCCGCTTGTGCCATGCTTGTTTGTTTGAACCTTTGTTTAGTAACGGGTAATAAGGTTTTTATCGGAATTTTGTTCGATTTAAGCATGTTGCGGGCTTCAGACCTACAGCGCCATCTGTTATCATAAATGTCACAGATTAAAATTGTGCATGCTATTTTTATTATTGCTTCTTTTGAATAAATATCAAGTTTGTTACTAAAATATCTTAATAATAATGTGAATTGTAATTTTGCTGATATGGTTAAAGCCATAGCGTTCACAATTTTATCATCTATCAACGATTTGCTTTGTAATTGTTATGAATCCAGTAAAAAGTAACAGTATTGTTTTGTAAGTCTTGCTTGTCATGCGCACGTACGCATGAGACGTCCCGATTCACACCGGCCGAGGTGCCGACGCACGGACATGGGCCTCGCTTAACGCAGCCGCACAATAACAGACCTTACGGTCAATAACTTTAAAGTTGATTTTAAGTTAGGTCCGCTTTCATAAGTAAGGATGGAACTCGCCCGCTTCTCACATCATTGTCGATTTTTGTGATGTATTGGGTTTTGTTTTGCTTGCTTTCGCGCATTACGACAAGATGTTTATTCAATCTGTTCTGAATTAGTTCGACGTACGTGAACACAAGGTTTTTTTTTATCGTTATAAAAAAATGTTATTTTTATAATTGCTATAGTAAGTCATTATAAATATCTATGATTCCACACGTATCACACAATTAGCCTATAAATGCAAAATATAAATTTTATTTTTGTTTGCTAAAACATAAACCTCAACTACGCGTGCCCTACTTAATTCTATGAAATTATTCTGCGTAACAAAAAAACAATGTACCATCAAAAACATAATCAAGCGAGCAAAACAAAACGTATCCGTGATTAAAAAGATAAATTAAAATGCGTTGAGAGCAGAATAAGTTGCGTAAATCGGTGAAAGTGAGAAGTGCGGGAGTGTGAGGAGGTTAGCGGTGGGTGTTTGCCGGTGGCGCAGTGGGGCTGCGAGGGGCCGTACTCGGGCGTGTACGCGGCGCCCGCGGCCGTCTTTCGCCTCGCCTTCCTCGGCTCCGTCGAGGTGGATGAGGACTCACGCCGCAGGAAGAAGAGGCCCAAAAAGAACATGGTGGAGGAGGCCGTCACTAAAATCAAGGTTGCGGATTATTACATGCTAGTTGTCTATGGAAAATATTTTTAAAGGAATTAGGATGGATTTCTAATAATCAAATACGACAAACTATGTACAAACCATATTTAAATTGACAAATAGAGATGGCTGGCTAAGAAGGAATTGTAGATAGTAACTAAATTGTATGAATGTATTTACTACGATGAATTGCTTGGAAATTTGAGAGTTTAGTACGAAATTATTAGACTCATAGATATTAAAATTAAAGAGAAAAAAAACCACTATAATTACTGATTAAAACAATTGTAGAAAAGTTGAAACATGTATTATTTCTGATTACACAATAAACTTTTATTAGGTAGTTTAAAAAATCTGGCGTTCAAATTATGAAGTACAGGTCACTTTTAAATATCTAAAAATCTCACTGGCTTTCTCCAATACTAATCATGTATACTCATTGTGTGAAAAGTGTAGCTTTTTTTATTTCAATTTAACTAATATAATAATGTCATTTTTCTTCGCTATCATTGGATGTCAAGGCTTTGGTAAGTTTCGTTTTTATATGCAAGCTTAATATAATTTCAAAGGCTTTAGGTATCTATATCTCAATATCAATAACAAATTGAAATAAATTGGACGGTTGTCCGTTTATTATTTATTTTTTTAGAAAACCCGTTCTGATTTTTTTATTAGAACTACATTCCCATAGACTAATTTACCATAACCTAAATCACAACCTAATTGTAGTTTCCCTTGAGAAAGTTAAGGAGCGTAAATTCTGTACCATTTAACACTGCATTTTTAGTTTACATTGATTAGATTGTCCATAATGTTTTAACAATGATTACCCAATTGTTATTGTCCCCAGGCTCCCGAAGGTGAGAACCAGCCGAGTACAGAAGTGGACTTGTTCATATCTACGGAGAAGATAATGGTCCTAAACACGGAACTGAAGGAGATAATGATGGACCACGCGCTTAGGACCATCTCATACATAGCGGATATAGGAGATCTGGTTGTGCTCATGGCTAGGCGGAGGTTCGTTCCACACGAGAACGATTCCGATCAACCGAAACTGAACCGTACTCCAAAGATGATATGTCATGTTTTCGAAAGTGAAGAGGTGAGTGCAGTTAGTATTCACTAGAATGTAGATCATGAACACATAAGACTTATGTTTTCCTTTTTTTCAGGCCCAATTTATAGCTCAATCGATTGGACAAGCATTCCAAGTGGCATACATGGAATTCCTTAAAGCCAACGGCATCGAAGACCACAGCTTTGTCAAGGAAATGGACTACCAAGAGGTTCTCAACAGCCAGGAGATCTTCGGCGACGAGTTGCAGATGTTCGCCAAGAAGGAGCTACAGAAGGAAGTAGTGGTACCCAAGGCCAAGGGTGAGATCCTGGGCGTGGTGGTGGTGGAGTCCGGCTGGGGCTCAATGCTGCCCACAGTGGTGATCGCCAACCTAGCGCCGGCCGGGGCTGCGGCAAGATGCGGACAACTTAACATAGGTAAGAGACAAAATTCACAGCACATAATAGATTAATAACGCCATCTATGTTTAACGCTTGCTCTGTGGTCAAAATGATTGTAAAAGCTCCGAGTTTTATTAAACTAAAAAATAAGAGTACACATTGACAATTAGCATATCACAGGCGGGCGTGACCCTATTTAGGCTTGGTATACACGTGTAATGTTGTTAAAATATTGTTTTTCTTTGTAGGAGATCAAATAATAGCGATAAACGGTGTAAGCTTAGTAGGGCTGCCGCTGTCGACATGTCAAACCTACATAAAGAACTCCAAGAACCAGACAGTGGTGAAACTGACGGTGGTGCCGTGCGCGCCCGTAGTCGAGGTCAAGATAAAACGGCCAGACACTAAGTACCAGCTCGGATTCAGTGTGCAGAATGGAGTGGTGAGTTACTTAGAGTTTCTTTAGAAGAATCATTTACTAATGATATAAATGCGAAAGATAGATAGATGTTTGATAGAGTTTTCCTAAACAATTGAACGGATCTTGATGAAATTTGTCATAGAAGTAGAGAAAAGTATGGAAGAACACTTACACTATTCACTTTAATTTTTTTTAATTCCAAACGGACGAAGTCGCGGGCAAATGCTAGTAATCATATAAATATGATAGTCGTAAGACTAAAGACTTCTGGTTTGATGGCTACTTGAAACCTAATCAAGGTTACAAAAGTTTACTGGGATATTTATAAGCCTACATCTAAAAATTACAGCTGCTCAGTTAAGAAAAGTATGAGTTTTATTGGTATCTTTTCTTGTATTGTAGATTTGTAGTTTGCTGCGCGGCGGTATCGCGGAGCGCGGCGGCGTGCGCGTCGGCCACCGCATCATAGAGATAAACGCGCAGAGCGTGGTGGCCGTGCCGCACGAGCGCATCGTCAACCTGCTCGCCACCTCCGTCGGCGAGGTGAGCTACCACAATAATACTACCACACTCACAATATAAACACTATCTCATAAAATGTTACTAAGGCGTGTTCTTGGCGTTTGCGCACCTTAGGCGAGATTCGCGGACAACTGTAATACAAACCTATAAGCATACATTATTGTACAAAAAAGGGCGTCAAGTGACTCTTTCTGAGTGGCGCCCTGGGCGTTCGCCCTACCTCGCCCTACTCTTAGTCTGCTACTGAATTCCTGAGAGCTAATATTAGATATTCAATAGTTGCAAGCAGTGTACTTGTATACTTCTTGTATTAAAACTGGCAGTAAAGAAATAGCTGTTAAAATTAATAAAAAAGTTTAAGTCATATTTATGCCGGGTTTCTGAAATTTTCATTTATTTGATAATTACCTTGTGATTCTTTAGTGTTACGTTAAACTAACTTCCTAAAGAGTAAAACTCAAGTTACGTAGTTCAGAAACGCATTTCAATTTATCAAACTAAAAAACACTAACTGGCCATCTGGAAAACTGGTTAATAATTTAACTAAACTGAGTCTGTTTTCTTTTCCAGATATTAATGAAGACGATGCCTACGTCAATGTTCCGGCTGCTGACCGGCCAGGAGAACCCCGTGTTCATATAAGTGCGCGTTCGCCGCCGATACAAAGTGCCTGCTTACCTCACGCCCCGCCCCGCCCTCGCCCTCGCCCTCGCCCCGCCCCACGACAGCTGGGCCACGCCCCACACGCCCACACGCCGCACAACACATAACGTAGCAAAAAAAATTCTAAATCGACTATTTTTATTACCATTTGTTTAATAAAATCAAATACCATGACGTCATGTTCTTTTTTCAAACCATTTCAATTCACGAATCTCTTTTTCAGTAGTTTTTGAATCAAGTATGTAACCAGAAATTTATCCAAAATCTCGACTGTAATTTAAATATGCCTACGAAAACAAAAAAAAATCCCGCCTTGATTCACCTTGAATTCGATGAAATGTCTACGGTAAAAGGAACATTATTTTTGTATCTGATATTCCTAACATTTTTATATCTATACAAGAGATATTGGCTCGGCTGTCGGTACATACTCTATGACACCACGTCAGTCCAGAACTGCTTACAATGCTTACTTGGCTAAAATAAGTTAGTTATAAGTATTATATCGCCCTTAGATATGTATTTGTACTTGCTATCATTTATTTATCTTTTTAATTTAAACTGCATTAATAAATAGAATAGTAATAAAATGCGTTTAATAGTTAATGGACATAGAAATTTAATCCAACAAAAGGCGTTCTGAGGCCTTTTTACCGAACTTTTGTGCTCCGGTTTAGGTAAATTATTTTAACTTTATTTTTATTTAAGTCTTTTTAAAAGCAGTATATTTAATTAAAAAAACCTGCTTACTTCTTTTATTATTTTATTGCTCTCTATGTAAGCCTTGTCGTTTTATTTGATGCGCGGTTTACACTTCGCCAGTACAGTTAGTCAGTAGCGCTCTGATTAGACGTTCAATTAACTGGCAGAGTGTGAACGCTAACAGAGGCCAATTAGTGTCGCTTACCGTTGCAATTGTACTGGCCATGTGTGAACCGGGCAGGAGTCTGTTATTTTTTGACAGATGTGTCAAAGAGCAAATAGCAAGTGCAAATGCATTGAAACAATAATCATGTTCATTGTCAAATATTCCTTGATAAATATTGATTGTATGTGTAAATTAATATAAAACCCACTCATATCTGCTTAGGTATTATACTATATTAACTAATTATCTGCCATCTATGTATTAAAATAAGTGGACAATAGTGGAGATCGTCTGAATATTATAAGTGTCTTTAGCACGCCATGTTTGCCATAGATAATCTCGATTTTTGTGCGTTAGTCTTTAAGTATTTAGTTAAAATTGTTGCCATATTATTTTTTAATTTTAACTACTAAGTTTTCGCATCTTATCGTCCATGCATTCTTTAATACCATTCCATTTTAGTTTATTATTTTGTTAATACATTTTTATTTATTGTAAAATTTTAGTCGATGTTTTATATCATTAAAAACATAGTTCAAAATCATATGCTAATTAAGATGTATAGCTGAACAGATTCAGTCTATTGAAATTTCTACAATGTCGACAACAGCAAAATATGAACCATTAAATACATAACGTATGGTAACATTGTTCATTGTCCGCAAGTTGTCGACATTGGGAGAGATTCAATACTGCCAATATTAAAATATATCTGCCCTTTAAAAAGTAAATTTAAATATACGCCGCCTCCATGATATAGCGAGCGCGGAAAGTGATCATATTTAATAAAAAATGAATTGATTAGTAGATATTAATAAAAAAAAAGCATTATTTCGTGTAGCGTTTCAAAAGATATGTCATATTTTGTAAATTTTATAGTGTGGCTATAGCATTACTATATAATCTATATCAATATATGTACTGTTCTTAGCTAAGCTTAGCGCTCTGAGGACGAGTCTTTGTGTTTATTTATATAAAAAGAGTAAAAAAAATTGAGTGTCTGTAACTCGTACGTAACCTTACGGAAAGTTGCTTCTTTCTTCTCATATGCTTTCCCAATGTGTAGGTATTTATTTCTCTTTTTAAGAAAGGTCTATAATCTCATATAAGGCCAGTGTTGACTTGTGTACAAGAACTAATCTTAATATTATTGTTAAAGTACACATTACTTCACATTCCATTTGAGATATTGTATTTTTTTTATAAATTGTTGGCCAATGTTTAAAATAAGATCGTCAAATGTCACTAATACTAAATCTCAAAAAAACTATTGCATTTTATCCTGTTTAAGAACTGTTAAATGACGTCACGTCTTCACTGGTCTGTCCTATTACCGTACCTCACGCTCATTTGTCTTAAAACATCTCGTCTCTTTCATTCTCGTTGAAAAGAAAGAGACAGATGTTTTAACATGTTTTGGAACGGAATTTCTCGTTTATTTCGTGATCTGTGTACGTTCAAGTTGTATGTAGATACTATATGTAATCTGATGTGTAATTTTATATTGCTAGCTGTTGTGAATAAGATTTATTTACATTAAAAACCCACAGATAATAAATAGCGTTTATCGAAAGCTGGTACATACGGTAGGTGACACTGTAACATGTGAAATAACTATTGTTGTTCTCATTTCTAAGAGTATTATTCTAGTCTGCATTAAAGTTAAGAATAAACTGAACAAACTTATAAACGTAATGTTTTATTTTCCTTTACTTTCCTAGTAATTTAATAGAATACAGACGAATTCGTCATCCTTTTGATAAGTGATTAAAAAGAAACTTACAACTACTAATAAAGAAAATGGTAGATTCTAGTATATGGTATTAACTTAATGAGATAGATGCCAATGTCCAAATTGATGGATGTTTACTTTTTTAGATTCCGTGTGCTAGAAGACGCGGGAAAATTGTAAAACTACATAAAAAGGATGGTAGTTGCTGTTTGTAAGAATTAAAAAACGTCATAATTGTTGTATCTCTTTATTAAATTTATGATATTTTCAATATTTTTAGTTATAAAACTCAAATCTTAAGTTTTCCACAACAGCTCAGAACAGCAAGGCTGAAATATTTAAAGTAATGATCTCATTTTTGTCCCAGACTACCGACATTTGAATTGTTGATTTCGTTACGATACTGAAAAAACAATGCGACGGCGCTGCGTATATTGTACTGCATTATTCGGTTGTCTGCGTCACGTTATTGTTTTTAGAATTATGTGGGCTGATCGAGATAATATCTACAAGAATAATGTAACTAGATATGTAAGGGAAGATAGGTTAGCCTTGAGTTCTTGGATTCCCACTCAAGGATAAATCGAAATGTAAAAATAATTCTCGATGTTTTCTTCGCAAAAACTGGCATATATATCAACTCCATAAAACTTCAATATATAAAACAGTAAAAAGCAAAATATTACGAGCACAATGAGTTCAAAGTTTACTTCAGCAGTTCTTTAGTACAGACTCGCGTTTAGTTTTTTGAATTATATATATAGTGAATATTGTTCTGTTGTCAGAGATTGTAATAAATGCAATAAAACACTGGTTAGATAAAAACAAACAGCAAATAGCTTAGCTCAATGCCTCGGCTCTAGGACGGCATTTAAAGGCTTCACACGATTTTATACGAATCAGCAACAGCATAGGTCGGGGAGGCGAACACTAGTCTGTGTAGGCTTTATCTGCTAATATTATATAACTAGCGATATACCCGGCTTCGCACGGGTTCAATGCTGACACGTTATACATTCCTCTTCCTCTTGACTCATTTAAAAAAAAACTACATCAAAATCCGTTAGGTAGTTTTAAAGATCTAAGCATACATAGGGACAGACACACAGCGGGAAGTGTCTTTATTTATATCGTTATTGTTAAAAAAAACTTGTCCATTTTATATCCGTGTGAAATCAATACAAGCTAGATAGAAAAAAGTACTTAGTTCCATTTTATAAAGACCACGTGATTTTTTTTGTATCGAATCATTTTTTTACATAAAAGAGAGAACGTCGCGACGTTGTTACGTCATCAGTACACGCAATGTAGCGTGCACAGAAAAAAGGTATACAAAAAGTGGTAAGGTTTTCCGACCACCAAAAAATGTCGCCGCAACATTCTGGATGACGTGGCAGTGTCATCTCAATTGAATAACTAAATATCAAGTGTTACCTAACGCTTTGGTTGGCACGCCGGTCGAATGAGTAGTTTTATTCCCGACGTGCCAACAAAAATGTTGCTGTAACTTACAAAATCCTGCACAGATATGGGAATCTATACACTTTTAGAAAGAATAGGAATCATCATTCTCAATCTCTTTTAGTAATTTCAACATCAATAGGTTACAAATGGTTCTTTCTAATATCTTTGTCTACCCACATATTTAATCCTGACAAGATTCTTTACATTATACTATTTAATTCTGTACTTGTGTGTCAAAATCACAGTACCTGGTGCCTTTGAATGCTATTGGCGGAATGTTCAATGCAAGATCCCATCTATACATACTCAAAGTGTACCTATTTTGCAAAAATAAGTTTTTCAAATACACAAAGATCGACATTATGAAAAAATTTTCTATAATTGAACTGGCCTGTTATGTTTATACATTATCTATCTTAATAGGTAGGCTAATCAAGAACCTATCTGCGAGTTCAGAAAAAGAACAAAATGTAATACTTACCAATTCATAAACCTCTAAATGAAATCTTTGACAAAGTATGTGTTCAAAAATATTTTGTCTTGTCTAGAGGAAACAAAGTAAACACTGTTTTGCTATTGAGCCCAACAGCCTTAAGATGAATCGGTCCAATGGGGATTTTTTTCTATTAAGCATAAATTTTATGTAATCACCCTTTTTTTGCAGTCTTCTGGTACTTACCATCTTGTACAATATATAGCACTTAATAACTGGACTGGCATATAACTGTCATGATGTCATCACGTCCATACAATCATGCTATGTAACAAGTTAATATCAACTTACTCATTAGGTTTCATGTTTATGTTATCATGGCATAATTATAATTTTTTTTATATAAGAAAGGGTCAAACGAGCGGCAGGAACAGAGGTGGTCACCGACGCCCAGACATCCGCAACACCAGAGGAACTACAATGCGTTGCCGGCTTTTGAGGAAATTGTAGGCTGTTTCTTAAAGGACCCTAAGTCATATTGGTTTGGAATTACTGCTGGGGACAGACCGTTCCACAATGTGGCTGTGTGGGGCAGAGTTATGAATACCTTTCCTAACAAGTATGTTGTAAAATATTCACATCATTGCATTACATAATTAATATGTTAAACTCAATCTAGGATTGTTATTTAAAAGAATTGTGGTTTAACAAATAATGTCAATTGTAAAAATGTGTTAGACTCTACATATTTTTGTAAATAAAATATGTATTGTACAAAAACCTATTATTCTGTATCTAAACTGTTAACAATGGTATAAAGATTTTAAATGAAATAATGTTATCTTTCTGACAAGTTTCTATAAATAACAGAAAATCATTATCTTGTTTAAAGCTATTGACTGCAGGTGACCACTTAACCTTAAATTGAATATCATACAAAACTGTCACTATCTAAAGAACAGTTCAAAGGATTTCAATGAAATTTGGTACACATCTGTACCAAAAAAGAATATAGTCTGAAAGAACATATGGGATACTAAAGGCCTGTCCCACCAAATTGTAAATTGTCTGATAACCAAAGTGTAGAATTTGTGATGGAAACATCAGATTTTGTTCAATTTTTAACATTGATGTCATTTTCAAGCTTTTCTGCTTGTGGTGGGACAGCCCCTAAGTTTTTGGAACAGATTAAAGATTATAAATAAAAAAAATATTAGCTTTTGTATATTATGTATTTTTGAAATTTGCTCACAAAGCCAAATGAAACGTAATATAAATACAATTTGTTGATAACTCTTTTGAATACAAGACACAAATAGAGAACACATAAGAGACGATTAAATCAAGTGAATGGTGTTTAGAAATGGAAAAAATAAGTTACTAATTATTGTTATTGAGTTCAGAAACAAATTTCTGCTTAGCTACAGATCTGTGATATTTCTTATACATTATCAAGTCTTGCAATGAAATGCATTTGATAAGATTCTTTTACAAAGGCGTTGAACTTTGTGATGACACTTTTTCCTTTGTATAAAATTAACCAAATTCAATAACCATGAAATATATACATTTAAGTCTCCTGATACTCCATATTCACTATTTTTTAATTATAGTAAAAAAATATGCATACCTAATATCATAACGAAGCTACAAGTGAGGGGGTAAACAATGAGGGGCAGGGTTGGGCAGTCGGGCAGGCGGGCTGCCAGCTCTGGGCGAGGCTGTAGAAATGCTAAGGTTGCCGGCGGGCGCAGGCCGCGCGCTGCGCCCTCGCCCACCGTTTATATAAATTTCTTCACAATTGTCTCTTCACAAGTTATTGGGCCTAGGATGTAAACGTAACTTGCACTCTTAAAATCATGATATTTTTTTTCTTTCGTCCCCTTGGAGTCGCGCGCGTGGGATAGGCACTGATGGGTGCGTGCGGGCGGCGCGGGGCTCGCGACCGCTCAGTTGTCCATGGCATATCTCCGTGTCCACTCCTTTGCGTTTCGAATTGCTTCGCTTTCATTCACCTTCCACAGCTCGGCTACGTCGTTTGCGAGTGGGTCGTCTGGGTTCGGCGCCGAGAGCAGCGCCTGGATCGACAGCAGCACCGTGCGGATCTGTAGAGCGGGGCTCCATTTGTCCTTCAATATATCCAAGCATATGCGACCCAGCCGGTCTATGTTCGGATGGTAAATTTTCGTAATAAACCTAACCTTAGGCGCCGACATGGGATAGTCTTCTGGCAGGAAAAGTTCTAATTTGAAAAGTCCACCTTCGAATGGCGAGTCTTCCGGGCCGGTAACGATTACATGAAAATAGCGGGCATTGGTTTCACTAGGCACTGCGCTGATTCCCGGCACGGGTTCCTGCATAAGTCGCTGTGTCTCTTTGATTATTCTACGTGGTAGGGCTGCCATTTTATATATGCGGTCTAGCGCAATTTATCAAATGAAAGCAGGTAATCATATAATTATAAAAAAATATCCAATTGTCTTTGCACAGCACGTGTTTGTAGCGAATTCTGAGGCACCAATTCTATAACAACAAATTATAATAGCATTTTAGCATAGTTTTTTCTTAAAACGCGACTACAAAAGCGCAAGTATAGTACCAATTTCAATTTTTTCACGCATAGACAATACAGATTAAAATTATACCATAGACACAAATGGTTTTACGTTGGTTTTACGATTTGAAGTTTATGATTTCGGACGTTTTCAAATTGCTCCAAATCAGATAGTCACCTCCAGGCAAACAAGTACTTACCCGGACAATTTTGCGGTTATATAACTATTGCTAAACTTCAAGAAGTACCTAATTTAGTTAAGAGTTGAATAAATTAATTAGGATTTTTTATTTGCATTTACAAGTTGTTTCTGTCAAACTTTTTTTAAACGCAGTGACATAAATACTTAACAACCATTCTTAAACAGCGGTATTTTTAAAAGGAATTATTGAAGAAAATCAATTTATTTTTTGAAGCCGTATGTGTCCCCACCCTTATGTAACATGTGACAATGCATTTTTTGGCATAATTGATTATTTACTCTGTGGAGTTACAGTATTGCCATAATTACAAAGAGGTTTTTACTGTTTGGGAAAATAGGTAATAATGAACTTCAATAGTGCTAAGCAGGAGATGGAAATAATTTTATTCATAACATTTATAAGTTAGTCCTATTATTTAATAAGAGAAAGAATTATCGAAAAAGCGGCCAACATCAATCTCAACCACGTAAGTAGAAAAATGTTACAATGTTAAAAGTGTCAAAACATAGATGGCAGTGGCATACATTTATCAACTTGCTTATTTTTTTTCATTGGTTGACCGACTTTTATAAGAAGTTGGACAGGGTAATTAATTTTGGTATTGTATTAATTATTTTTTAGATAAAACTCCGGTATTAATACTGCTTTACTCTAAATTAATTCAGTGCCAACTTTTGTTACATTTTTTGTCAATATACTAATATATAACTACGTCACATACTTGTAAAAATATTTCGAATCTTATGTTTTATCACGGTTAAAAAATGAGATTCTACTAAACGAACAAAATATTTTATATTCGAGAATGTATAATACATTTAATATTATCTATTCTATCTATAAATGAAAAAAAGTCCCGTATAGACATCGTATAGACATCATCTTCATAAAAATGAAAAATGATTTTTTTTAATGAAGCTGTTAAAATCACAAGTTGTTCTACGTACGTTCACAAGTAATTGGAGTTAAACAATTTATGTTATTAAAAAAGAAAGATCTTATAAAAGATTATTTCTATAAATACGTCATTATAAAACCCAACTTTTTATAAATCCGTTTTAATTCAGAAATGATTAACATAGAAAGAAAATAACTATTATATGTCAGGCCCAGCCTCCACATTCGTTCCGGCACTCGCTGTCGCTGGCAAAGTTGTTAGTCTGAGCGGGCACGGCGCCGCAGTGGTCTGCCCATCTTATTAAAATACACTTCTTCTGATCCCAATCGTAAGAATAACTAAAACAAAATAACTAAAACTGGTTAGTGAAATTTTAAATTCTACTATAAACTTTAAAAAAAAAACCTTTTCTAAGAAAATTGGAAGGAGTATATCTGAAGAGAATATCGAAAAGAAACTTCAGTTTCTGTACATCTTTTCCTCTACTCATTAAAGGTTGGCGACGTATTTACAAATACGTTAAAGCAATCATTTCACTTGTTTAGTTAAGTAATCGTTTGTTCATTAGCCACCTTTTAACAAACGTGAAAAGGTTTAAAAGATCGAAAACTAACTATGTATCAACTGTACATTTATAAAGAAAATTCTTATACAATTTAAAGATTTTTTTTAATATTTTTATACCGTTCAGTGTGAGACCATCTGTTTCTTGCAGCGTATTCTATGATGCAGTGTCGTTCCTTCACAAGTAACTTGCATAGCTCTGAATCCACTGGACATAAAACAGAATTAATATATTTAAAATGTATCTTATCGTTATTGTTGAGTTGAATTTTACTTTGGGTTTGCATACATTAGTATAAATGTGAGGTTTTAATTGATAACAGTTCTAAAGGAAGTTTTGATGATAAATTCTAAATAAAAAAAAAATAAAAGAAACGCATTTAATTTCTTTTTCTATTAGTTGTTTATATCTCGAATGCAATTTTATTAAATGTTTAAAAATAAAAACAACTCACATGATTCAATTTGATTTACAATCATCGATAAAGCATAGATAAAAAAATAAATTTTCAACATGGCGTCAAATCGATGTTGGGGTTATCGTTGTTCTGGTTATCGCGGTTTGTTTATATACATAGTGGAAACCTCACGGAGTTATCTTGAAAATGTATTTGTCACAGTTGTAAAATGGCACGCGGTCCACAATGCGCGGGAAAGCGGAACACATGTTCAAAAAGAACACAAATACAACCTAAAACAATACAACAAACATATATTTGATTTATAAATAACTTAGGACAATAAATGTCAGTCCTACCAAATTGTAACAATCGAACGTGTAAAATATGTGATGAAAATATCGTTTTTGGTCCCCTTATCTGACAGTGACGCCATTTTAAGCCATCTAAGCCACTTTCACCCAGTAGGGCAGGACAGGCCCTAAGTTTTACTAAAATAATATCTTATTTTTTAAACGTTAATATCCATTAAATAAATGTATTTCGATCCGTGAGTACAATTAAACATTGGTAAGGTCTCGAAGCGTCGAAGAATACGGAAATATGATCCACGATGAACTACGTTAGATATTTGCGAACATGCTCGTAAAATAAATGGCATTCCATCCGTCCAATGTCCTTTCAGTCCTCAATTGTTTATCTCTTATCTTGAACGCGTATTTTTTCAATCGTCGTTACAAAGATAAATGGTTTCTTATTTCTCCCAACACTTTCGCGGCGACATCGTTGAGGTCGTTTGTTTTCTCATTATTTAAAAAGAATTTTCACGTCATTTATAAACGTCGAAGAAGATAAATTTAAGTTGGTAATGCAATTTTTTTCTAGGAAACTATGTAATTATATCAGAATAAAGACACATTTTTAAACTTAATTGTAATAGGGCTTTATGCGTAAGTTAAGATGGACGTTTGTTAGAGTTTGCCGCCTAAACTATTGAACGGATCTCAATGAAATTTGGCATAGATGTACTGCATAGTTTCAAATAGAATTTGCTTGCTTTCGAGATCATGAGTCTTGTTATTTAATTGCAAAAGGAAAGCCTACTGTTAGCTTTTAAATTTTTTTTTAATTCGTTTTTATTGTTTTTTTATTGAATGGTTTGTAGCAAATTATTGATGAGAATTTTCTTGTTGTGATGGAAATTGAATTCTGTTGTATGTTTTTTTTAATTCGTCACAGACAAAGAATATACGCTCGGATAAACTTGTGTAGTATCCGAGAGGCAAAGCAAAGGATTACCGTTTTGTTTACCGCGACACAAACTCAATTCCAGTATCGCTTCGAGGCTTTGCCTTAGCATCTACGAATAGATACAAAGCTTTGAAAACTGATGAAGCATATAGCCAGGATATACTAAGTCCGATTAAAATTTTAATCAACGTTGCATGTCTTATATTTTGTTTTTTTAAGTTAATAATTCAAATTTTCCGCTCTAAACCTATGGTTTAACACTTTAAATGCAGTCGGTGGACAAATTGGACAACATATATCGTAAGGTTTTCTATACGAAGTAAATTTTAGAATTATTTTAATCGCCTTGATTTTAGATCTAATAAAGTAAAATCTTTGGAGATAAATTTCTGTAGAAAAATATAGGATCTAGAAAATGTCGTTTATTATACTTTATTTAATATTTTTGAAAGAAAATTAACGAGAAGTAATATGTGATTATTATTTTGTTAAAGTAGATATATCTTATTTCAATTGTAAAAAGCAAATTTAAAAAATAATTCAAACAAGCAAAGAATCAATTTTATACTCGATATTAAAAATGTTTTACTAGTAGTGAAAGTGGAACTAATTTGTTACGAGTATTGTTGACCAACGACCGTAACTGATTTTGTAATCTTTCGAAGTTAAAAACGATAACGATCTTTCAATTGGTACAACAAGCAACTGTCCCGATAGCCGTGATCGTCTAGTGGTTAGGACCCTACGTTGTGGCCGTAGTAACCCAGGTTCGAATCCTGGTCACGGCAGCGTACAGCTGTCTCGGCGGGATTATATTTTTTATATCAAAGATGACATTTTTTTAGTATTATTAAATTTGAGTATTACTAATTTTTATTTCAATTCGATTTTTGTTTAAAATAGAGAGAAAAACAAATTTACCTTACAAAAAAATTTGGCTTTCGTTAAAAATAACATTATTTTCGTTATAGATACATTATCAAAATTAAAGTTATCGCATATAAATAAACCAAGAACAGAGTAAAAATATAACCAGGATTCGAATCTAGGTTACTACGACCACAATGCAGTTACAATAAAATAGAACTGTCTCAATTAAAGCAGAAATTATGAATTAGCGTTAGACAGTTTTGCCTCTTTGTTTACAGTCAATTGTTTTTTGATAATAAATGGAATGTTGAGGAAAATGTTATAGAAGGGACGATACAGTTTAGTTTATCAAACTAGTTTAAAAATGTTTCTATGTTATTCTATCGTTAAATTCTTATCATTCTTGAGAATGGTCACCATCAATCACATAATTGCAATACGCAAGTATATAATGGTTGGAGTGTAGACTCAACAAATATATACATATTTCTAATTTGTCAGAGTACTAACTAATAGTATAAATGCGAAAGTTTAGATTGATGGATAGATGTTTGTTAGAGTTTGTAGTCAAAACGGCTTCGATAAAATTTGGTATAGATGTAGAGGATAGTCTGGAAGAACATATAGACTACTCAATTTAGTTTTTTTCCACGCCGACAGAGTCCTGTACAGTTAGTGTAATTACAAAATGTATTTATTCATATTTATAATCGTAATCTCAAAAGTACATGACTTGGACCATAGAGATTTATTAAAATTTATCGAATTTTAAATAAAAAACAATTTGTTTTATTTAATTTAGCATTAAATTTATATAAAACCGTAAGTCGCGTGAAAGAGGAATAATTTTAGTTATAAACAGAACTAGTAATACTGTTCAAATGAATTATATTTTATTTATTTCGTTCTTACTGTTTTGTGTGACGCAGTTAAAAGCTCGTAAGCTTGTTATAGTTTAACACTTCTGTGTGTTATTTCTTCATTATTTAAATTGAATCATTTTCACAGTTGAAACGAGCAAATGCAAATCAAAACCGACGGAAGAAGTGTGTCTTGTCGACGAATCCACACCGAGCTCTAAATGGTATTGTTTTATCGTATTAAAAAGGTTCATCAAAGTACAGTTAGACCCCTTCGCAGTGTACCACATAAAGAGAATGTTATTTCTTATTGTTACCAAGCGTCCACAATACGCCCTCTGCCCCACTTTGGGGACATAGGAATAGAAGAGAGAGAGAGAGAGAGACAGATTGTCTTGCCATTAAAAAAAAGTTGTCAGTCAAACTCTGCTCCTTCTCATAAAATAATCAATTTAACGACTGCTCAAATGACGGGATAATAGTAAAAAGCAATTAGCCATGCCAATGACCGAACTTTTCATGTATGGAGATATTAAGAAAGCGGTGTCCTATTGGATATCTATCCATGTCGTCGTGTCAAGGTGTCCACCTTCATTCAAAATACTGTCTTTAAAGTGGAACACCACCCGTTTCCCTGATAGTACATGAACCGTAAGAATAAGCGAATAGAGATTTATTCTACCACTCTCCAATCAATTAAGTTTTAGTTATTAACTCCAGAGTATGGGGGTTAATGTCAGTGTAATAACAAATTGTTTTTTCATGTTTCAGGTATGTCTACGACTGGGAAAGTGGGAACTGCGACTTAGTGTACTGGTCTAACGAATGTTTTGCCCCAGAAGTCGATTCAAATATATTTAATAATCAAGATGTATGTTTAGCTGAATGTGACAACTCATAATGACGTGTTTTTATACGATGGCAGTCCAGCAATCCATTCACTGCTTCATAATGCAATAAATTAATATTTCTTTATTTTTTTTTATTGTGCTTTTGAATGTGTCCATTTTCATACTATCTATATTAATTTACATTCCGTAATTCCTTAAGGTATTAATCTAAAATGTAGTTCAGTTAAAGAAGGTAGACAGAGACAATAATTTCCAATATTTGGCTTTAGCATACTGAAGGGTTGAGAGATAGACTGGACTATACTTTGTATCGATGTTCGCATTCTTTATGTTGCAAATATCTTATTCATGTAATAAATATGTATACATGTATGAAGGTCCTGTCTATCTATAGCTATAGTCTATTTTAGTTTCCTGTGCATTTACAACTTATCAGAATTCGATGAGCTAGATTTGATTCGATTTGTGGCTTTAGAATGAGTTGTATTATCAGGTTTATTTCGTTTTGTTTTTAACCGTTTCTTTTTTAATTTTCGAAACATAAGTGAAATTTAGATCTTGCGATAATTTCGATACGCTTGTAATTTATTTATATGAAAAAAAAAATTATATGTGTAAATAATCATAAGAAAATTTACACAGTAAGTTAAGATCAGCGAAATGCATATAACTTATTTGTTATTTTTCATTTTCTGTGCATTAAACTCGGATGCAAGTAAGTAGAAATAAAAATACTGTACTATAAACTGATTTACTCTATGGTTCCAAATTATTTGTCTTTTGCAGTAAATCCGTTGAAATGTAACTCCGACACGGTGGATGCAAGTTGCGTTGTAGAAGAAAGCGCTGTCTATTCAAAGTGGTACGTATCAATATACATTTTAAAATCAATTGTTAGTTTTTCCCTTCTGTACTTTTTACCGTGAATAAAAAATGCTTTTCGCTTTAATGTTCATGACGTGAGTCTAACAATGAATAAGCACTTACTAAACTAATGTGTACCACCCTCGACCAACATTTAAAGTTATTTTGTCTATACTGATATTGTACAGAAGGAAAGATTTATATTTTTGTATTATACGAAATAACTCAAAAACTACCGGGCCGATTTCAAAAATTATTTCACCATTTGAAAGCTACGTTGTCAGTGAGTAACATAGGCATGTTTTATTTTCACGCGAGCGAAATCGCAAGCAACAGCTAGTTGATTATAAAAGAAAACTTTAAACATTTTACATTGTCGTTTTTAAAACCCCCGAAAAATAAATTCACATTATTTACCCAGGTATGCTTACGATGCCAATGGGTTGGAATGCATCCTAATCAGATGGTCTGATGAGTGTGACTCTCCGGGGAACAACGTCAACATTTATTCCAGCATTAAGGAGTGCCAGGACGAATGCGATAGGGAGCTGAAAGCGAGGCGTTTCGGATAAATTATAATAAAAAGATAAGACCTGTGTACTTATTTAGAACTTTTTTAAATCTCGATGAAAAAAACAAATAAAAAATATAAGCTCCGCCGCGACAGCTGTACGCTGCCGTGACCAGGATTCGAACCTGGGTTACTACGGCCACAACGTAGGGTCCTAACCACTAGACGATCACGGCTATCGGAGCTGGTGACGGTAAAATGAAATGTAGCAACATATCTGTCGAATTGGAAAGCAATTTATGTTGCCAGCAAAAACGTTGGAATCGATTTTCTTTGTGCAACAGCAATTGTTGTTTTTTGACAGAAATACATTTTAGTTGAGTTTTAAGAAACACTGTATTTGACGTTATGTTAGAAAATTTCCTTATTCCAAATGTTAACCCTCGGTAATGCTGCTTCGTAGAGCTAATCTTTTAAAATGAAAGTTCGAGAATGTTCGTGAAAAGCGTTAGAGAACGTTAACGCATCTATAAGAAAATAAATGGCGTTGCTAAAACAGATTATATATGTAAGCAGTGATCTAAAAAGCTGGAACATGGTAATCGACGGAAATTTCCCTTTCAACATATCAGCTTAATGGACAGGTTGACGCGCCATGAGAGTTAATTTAGATAAAATGTCATTCAAAAGGTTTCCGATACCTGCCTGTTTCGCTTCTATTACTACAGTCGTATAATCATTACTTCAGAAATTCCTCAATGTACATTACTAATACTAAATCCAAGCAGAAAATCGAAGTATATTTAAAATTTAATGTATTTGGAATTAAATTAGTCGAATAAACTTTAGTCTTCAAGTAAAATATGTCAGTAAAATACTACAAACTTGTATTGCAATCAGTAAAGAATGGACAATACGAGGTCGGGGCGCGGCGACAAACAGCCGGCCCGCCTAACTGTAATTACAGTGTAGATCTAAGTAGACTGAACGATTTTATGTCAATTTAGGACACATTATATTTAGCTTGAAATTGTACTTTTACCTTTTATCTTGCTCGTCTCTTTTATTCTTGAAATAATTCAGAAAACTTCAAAAATTAAAGCCTCGTTTTCATTTGTTTTAAACAGGTTTTTATTTTAAACTAGCTTTCGCTCGCGACTCCGTCCGCGTGGTATTAAACATAAAACAAAACCATGGAGGCTATGTGTTCTTTTAGACTATCTTTTACATGCTGTCAAATTTTATTCAATCAGCAGTTTAGGCTACAAACTCTAACAAACATCCATCCATGCATCCATCTAAACTTTCACATTTATAATATTAGTAAGATTAGATAGCGTGAAAATACGCGTATATACCATGTAATAGTAAGTGTAGGGCTATTTATTAAAATAAGTGTTATATAAAAGGATGGTTTTTTTTTCTTTTTTTAGTCTTAATTAGGTAAAGGGGGATTTTTTGCTAACATACTTCATTAAAAATAAGTGCCTTTCGCCCGCGACTCCAACAGCATGGCATTTAAAAAAGACTAGGTAGCCTCTGTGTTCTTCCAGACTATCCTCTACATCTACGCCATATATCATCGAGATCCGTTCATCAGTTTAGGCTACAAACTCTAACAAACATCCATCCATCTAAACTTTCGCATTTATAGCATTAGTAAGATAGGATAGATTAATAGGTAAAGAATGTGCTTTAACATTTTAAAGTGATTTTAAAATGAGTAGCCTCTGTTATAAGTTAGTCTGTGCTAGTCACGCCCTAATCCAAAACGTATACTTTATTCCGACCGGCAGTGTTTTGTGGCTGTCGTCGCAACAGGCTGTTTTGTACAACATAGGATATATTCTAGAGATTTAGTATTCAAAAGGAGTTGGATCCTAACAAACTGGGTAACAGGAATGGGGAACAAAATTGTAACGTTTACGGAACAGCAGTTAGAAGATTATCAGGTAAATGAATTGCTTGTTTGTCATAACATCCCGCATTAATATTGAATTAATATCGACAAATTTGGATTTATTATTAACGCTTTAGCTGTGTTAAAAAAATCGAGTTTGTACCTAAATGTTTGCTGGTTTCAACTGAAAAATGACATATTTTTTATTCCCTTCTAAAATGTCGGTTGAATCTGTATTGGAATTACTCGCAATTTACTGGATATTGTCAATAATGAGCTGTATATGTTCCGTGTCCTTGATTTTATATTTAGCAATACAATGTCAAGGGAAAATTTCCAGACACGACATACATAATAAAATTGTATAGTAACATGATTTTGGTTAAAGCCCGCTATGGACGCTCAGCTCTAACTGAAAGTTTTTAAGAGTCGAAATGTTCAGTTAAAACAAATCGACTCTTAACTCAGTTGTAACTGAACAGTTAATATTTAATTTTAAAATAGGACTGTACGTTTTTTACAAGGAAGGAAATATTAAGGTAAGTGAATTTATTCAGCATTTTTCAAATCCAATTTCTATTCGACAGAAGCAAAAAGCTGTGGAGTAAACGTTATAGGGGATAATAACTTTGAATGTTATTACGTTCTTGTCTGCACTTACTTGAGTATCGTCGTAAAAAATTCTGATCGTCTTGGGTTCCGTTTCACAACAGAGATATAAACAATTTATGTTGTTCAACATTTGTACTGTGAGTTGAAAGCTTACAGTCATTTGTTTTAAATTCTTAGACCGCTTTTCCACCAGAGCAACTAGCTGTGCAACATAGACTGCAAACCACTGGTGTGTTTATAACAATTTTGAGAAATTATTAGTGTTTAAATGGTTCAAATATATTCTTATGAGAAGCACGTGTTAAAAAATATTCTTATTTGTTAGAATTTTATCAAAGAATATTTCCATATCGTTTTCAAATATTGGAAGGCGTAGTTTATCGTGCGATTGTCTTTGACAGCTGTCATATATTCAGACGTCTTTCATTTAATGGCGCAAGCATTTGCCGCGATATTTTTCAAGAAAATGGGCGCTTTATGCGAAAACTATTACCGTATCGTGAAATTTATATTTTTCTCTGATATTTTATATTTTTCTCAATATATCTTAAAAGCGTTAGGGTATTGTTTTCCTCGTGTTATATATTCCAAGACTTAATACGAAAAATAAAGCTGGTGGCAAATCATTTAAGAAATCGAAAATTAAAAATGTAACACTGGCAACTTCAATTTTGTTTTTAAATCTACTTCATTTTAAATATGGAACACGTAATAGAAACAATGCTGTTAATAATAGGCTTGTCTACATTAATTATTGTGCATTAAAATCGATACTAAGATTGTATCGTTATTGATGAAGGTTTTACATGCAATGTTTTGTAGTCAACTTTTATATCAAAGATTCCTGAATATTTCTGTATCTATTTAACTTACAAAAAATTTTGAAGAAAATAAATAAAAAGACGATGAAAAAGAAACATTTTACACAAAACCGTTTTACCTACATTTAAAACTTAATGCTTCTTTTATATAGTAATTATAAAAGAATGATCCAATTAAAATTATTTCAAAATACAGTAAAGAAATAAACGATATTCGAGGCGAAAATATTTTATCTTCGTAAGTATTTCATTACAAGAATACGCAGATGCCAGTGACCGGCGTATGAAATTGTTTTGTCCCAAAAAAGTTTTTATTCTTTACGACGTGATGAAGCGGCCAGTACTTTCATAGCTTATAAGAAACAGATTATAAAAGTTAGTTGGATATTTCTGGCTATAAACAGATTTATTTGAAAAACAGATAAAGAATTTAACTATGTAAGAGGGAGGGATAATTCCATTAAACTATTACCTCACTTATTATACTAATATTATAAATGCGAAAGTTTAGATGGATGGATGGATGTTTGTTAGAGTTTGTAGCTTAAAGGGCTGAACGGATCTGGATGAAATTTGGCATAGATCTTGAGTATAGTCTGGAAGAACACATAGGCTACTTGCTTTTGTTTTTTTTTATTCCACGCGGACGGAGTCGCGGGCGCAAGCTAGTTCTAACATAAAATAAACGTTTGCTAATAATAACACAGAGTATGTTTAATTATTTGTTTATGTATTAATCAGAGTGTTCAAAAGATTTCGAGAGGTGAACCCGGAACTAGTCCCGAAGCGAATGACTGAAAACCAAGCTCACACAATAGCGGTGCCAGTTGAAGAAATAGAAAAACTTCCTGAATTAAAGGTACTGGTTACTTATTATTTACTTATAAACGAGGTTTAGCCTAAGCGCCATCTGCGCTCGGCCACCTCAAGCCCGTTGATTCTGTTTGTGCTTCTTCAAGGCAGTGACCGTTCAGTACAAAAAAATAGATCATTTATTACTTACGATAATATCTTAATCTATTAGTTTTTTATAATTATCCAAAGATAATACAAATGTATATTTTAAAAGAAACACGAAATAGATTTTGTCAAGATATAAAGTAACAAAAGTAATTTTCAACGGAATATTTATTTCAGAAACTCCATTTCGTATCGAAATATAAAATCTTAAATATAAAATTGGTTGCAGGAGAATCCTTTCAAGCGTCGCATCTGCCAAGTATTCTCGCACGACGGCTCCGGCAACCTCACGTTTGAGGACTTCCTCGACATGATGTCGGTCTTCAGTGAAGCGGCGCCGAGGGATATTAAAGCCTGGTGAGGCTGCCAGTGGAAATGCGCTTTAAATGTAACATTTCTGAGAAAGATTTTGCAATTGCATTTATGAAATGGGTTTAGAAAATTCTTCTTAACATATTAATTTTTAAATATGTGACTTAATTGAAACTATTTAAATCTCTGTATGTTATATTACTAGCTTTTACTCGTGACTTCGTCCCGTAACGTTAGAAAATAATAAAAAAGTAGAGCCTATAATACTTACTGATGCCGTAGCTTTTTAATGGTGAAAGAATTTTTGAAATCGGCCTAGTATTTTTTAAGTTATTCCAATACATACGAATATCTTTATAACATTAGTATATTTTTAGTTTTGTTGTGGATTTACCCAGGATTTTTATTTGAGGTTATATTCTAGAACTTACTTCAACCTTTCTCTTATTAGCAATTTCAAATAATATCTTTGTACACCAGGTATGCATTCCGTATCTACGACTTGGATGACGACATGTTCATCGGCCGCGAGGATCTGTTAGAAGCCACTCGGTTGCTGACCAAAGGCGAGCTGCACCCGCAGGAAAGAGATGAGATAGTCGCCAGTGTGCTGGATGAAGCCGACGTGGATGGAGACGGGAGACTGTCCTTTATGGACTTCGAGCACGTTGTTGTACGGGCACCTGATTTCTTGTCCACTTTTCATATTAGAGTTTAAAGAATGATATGTGACTAGGTTTTTCTTTGTTTGAGAGCACTTGCATATATCACTGGCAATTGAGAGGATTTTGTTCCTTTTAAAAATTTAGATTTACTGAAAAATTCACCCCGAAACTGTCACTATGTTTTTATATTTAAGTGTCTTTTAATTTGTAAAATGTTGGTTTAAAAATAATATTTTATATACACCATATTTTTGTTGTTTTAAAAGTGTTTTATATAGTTAATAAATATCTATATAAAAATTGAAAATATTATTTATGTTTGACATTTAAAAGCTTCTTAGTTGAGTAACGCGTGGGAGAAAACTCGTTTATTTCGTAAGATCGAGAATTTTGTTTCTTGGAATTATAACAAAATTTGTTGGGAATGAAAGGAAATGAAAAAAGGAAACTTTTTTTAAGTAGTGGTTTCATAATTGGCTTTGTTTAAGAGGATAGAACAGAATTTGTACTTAGTTTTTTGTTTTTATGTGATATTTTATTAAAATCTTATACTTTTAGTAAAACATATATTTTATAATTTAATGCCACCAAAATGTTGGAAACGTTTTTGTTTTAAAAGCTTTTACAAAAAAGTAAAAAGATAAACTAATTTTAACAAACCTTTATGCAATTTAATAAACCCAGACTGTATTAGCTAAGAAGAAGTTAACACAGATTATTTTAGTAATTAAAACTATCTAAGTAAAGTGTTAAAGCCCTACGTTTATAATAGAATTAGGCTATCCTAGTGGGATCATGCCGACATCTATCAGCGACAATGCCTTGATTGCCTATTACTGTTTCATTACCCTAAGTAACTTAATTGTCAATCTATCTTGCATCCATCAAGTGTCGCCTGTAATTAAGTTATAGGTTGATTGAGTATAGCTTAGGCTTAATAATCGAGATACTATTATTAAGCCTAAGCTTAATACGGATACGGAATCTATTTGTACTCTATTTTAGAGATATCGTGTTACCGCCACATAATAATGATAATCCCAACTGGGGTTGGCGACAGCAGGCGGCCGGCCGTATAAAATAGTGCTGAATCCAAAAGTAGATTTTTGATAAAAAGGGAGTGATGACTCAGATGACGTATGATAGAGTTATGTGGAGGACAAAATTTCTTGCGCCGAACCTACGGGAGTAGGATTAGGAGAAAGATGATGACGATCGTGTTACCGCAACATTTTATATTGTGACATCTTTAACAACGTCCAAATTTGTTATTAATTTACAGAAAAATTAGTGGTACATATTGCCGATACTGGACGTATTTAAAATATAATTGTAATTGTCATAAAAATATAATTATGCCGACCCATTCATGCGATCATGTTAAAACAGGCTCTACTGATAATGTTTTATTACTTGTTTCTTTTTTTCAGGTAATTAAATAACATACTTTATAAAGTATCAAATAATCCATTATATAAATTGGATCCTTTGCTTACAAATAGCTTATATGTAAAAGGTGATTCAGGTGTGCTCTTTGGTTTTAGATGAGACTAGATATATGATGTTGAGAGATTTGAGGTTTGTGGAAACGTCATTGTATCCATTTTCAGTTAAATCTATCCTAAATTTTCTCTAAAGGGCATTGGTAGTTTCTTTAGTAATTTGCTTCGAGCTTTATAAAATGAATATTTTGTAATATATCTGAATTATTGTTGTGCTAGCCAGCATTTTTCAAAGAAAATCTTAAGGAAGTAGAAGTATCATTTAATATGACTAAGTTAATATATGATGAATGGTTTAAATCAAGTGTAGGAAGCATGAAACATTAATCTTATCAAAAGTGTCTTGCGAGCAACTCTGTACCCACATCTAAACATATCAACGTCTCACTTTGTTGTTTAGTAACAGAGAATGCTTTGATATTCACGGATTTTTTTTAATTATGACACGTAGGAAATTCTCTTCTCTATGTTAAAAACATTTATTTACAAAAAAATGTTGTGATAAGTCAGAAATTTAAGTCGCATTTCGATGGAAAACATGTTTAATTGATAATGATAACGTAGAAATAACAAAGAACACCATTTAATAGGTCTTTTATTGTTTTCTTAGAATAAGAATAACTTTCTTACATTATTATATTTTTATATTTAAAATAGTACTTAGTGTCTCATTAATTTCGCCAGGGTCGGCAGTGATTGCGTCCGTCTGGGATTACATGTGGCTAGAGGGCGCTGCGCTCGCTCGCGCCGGCGGCCATCTTTGTTATTACGTCGTAACCGTTACGAAATTCGAGACAACAAAATGGCAATTAAATTTAATATTATCCGCATATGCTCGAAAGTTTTGATTAAAATTTAAATTGGAAAATTTTCTGTCTAGATTTTTTTTTAATGATAAAATACATTCTAACTTAAGAAAAGCAATGTCATATGAAAACATCATAAACTATAAAGTGTTTTATATAGATTTAGGGCTTGTCTCACCAATGGCTGATAGAGGTTCAGATAACTTAAAAATGACGCACTGTCAAATAAAGAACAAAATCTGACATTTCCATCAAATATTTTACACGTTGGATTGTTATCAAACAATTTATAATTTGGTGGGACAGACCCTTAGTCTGTTATCTATAGTAAAATATCATGAAAATGTATGAATAAAAGTACATTTTCATGAGCGTACTCGTATATTATCCTCAACAAATAACTGCGAGACTCTGGGGATTGTAAACGACAAATAGTGAAATTATACGAACGTCGGCGAAACGTGAAAGAAAATTACGACGGTACCTCAGCTGTGCGGCTAGCTGAGTACACACCGGTCTGTTTGCTACTGTTTCTCATTTCACGAAAGTGGCTAACCTTAGGAAAACTCTCTAGAGAAATATATAAAGTATTTAAGAGGTAAAACTGCACGAAAGGCATGGCGTAAGCTTTCAATGTACGACAAAGTCATTGAACTTTTATATTTAAACAAAATAACTATTACCATTCTTAATTAACATAGATTTAGTAAATAAATTCTACACTAGATGACTCTAAATGTATTAATTCGACTTTTTTATCAAATAGAAACGTCCCATTTTATCTTGTTTTAACTGTCTCACTTAAGCAAAGATGTACCCAAAATAGAAAGTAAACACTTTATGGAGCAATGATAATCTCTTCATCGGTAAACACTGAAAATATTTCTTCAATATTTGCTTTGTTAAAATTCCATTTCATAACGAGGGTGAGTATAATTTGGGGTGACAATTTAATGTATGTCGGCGGAAGCTCGAGACTAGTACAAGATTAATTCACTCTCAGTGCCATGACACGCAGAGATAATGTCTCTATGTCTGTTATGCGACTATTAGAGCGCGCATATCTTTGACTAAGCCTTCGCACAACTGTTTAGTCGCGCTTTGATTCCTAGAAGCTGACGCATACACTATCCGATATTTAGTTGTGCAACTAAACAGTTGAATTGGCTGAGAAACAATCGACAATCGCACAACAGTTGTGCGCCCGATCTATATATTGCGGAGTTAATTAGTAAATGTATATTTGAATAAAATTGGCTGAATTAATCGATATCCTAGTTTCGGTGGTCTCAGTAACGATTACTGCTCTACTAACGCCCTGAGCGAGACTTTTATTGGGCAGGTTTTCAGCGATTTTTTGTAACATTTCAGTGAAACTGAGAGATTCACAGACATACGGCACCCTTTCTTTACACGAAAATATAACATTTAGGGTGAGTTGCATCAAATCGCTGGTTATCGTAAAAGTTATAATAGGGTTACAAGTGCAAAAACATATTCTCACAGAGGTTTTATGTGTTTTTCGTTTTTACAATGGAAACATTTAAACCTGAATGTCACTAAAGTGTCAAGTTGGTGTCAAGAATGACATTTACGTAAATTGAAATGTTTGGAAATACATGTTTCGCCGATTATATTTATGTATCATACGCATGGTATTTTATAGTGAAATAAACTTTTTGCCCACGAAGATGGAGAAAATGGCAAACTCTTGTGAAAATAAACTAGTTTGGGCCATTATTGAAACTGTATTTACTTTACTACTCAAATATGTAGCAAAAATGAAGCAATAAAATTATACAAATATAAATGCATCTTATTTATTTTCCATATTATAAATTGTCCTGTCAATGCATATTATAAATTGTCCTTTTATGGAGGACATTTTTTTAAATAAGAGAAAAGGGACAAGCGCTGTTGCTATGGCCTTAGACACTCGAAATTTGTCCAAACTGAATGTTTGGCCAAATTTCGAGTTCCATCTTGGAAATCCATTATTTCCGAGCACGCAAGACTTTATTCTTCTGGATTACGTATAGGATAATAGTAGAGATTTTCGTTTTCCATTACTTTTTCCATTATTTGTGCTTTTGAAGATAAGAGCTTGTGACAGTTGACACTACCGAACTGACACTAACCGTAACGCTAACTATAATCGCCCAAAATCGGGCGGTTATGATTAGTGTCAAATATGACGTCATTTTGACCAGCGCAAAACTGGTGTAGCGAATATCATGAACATCCGAAGACGTAACCATCGGGAATGTGCTGGTTAAGGTTTATAGTTAGTTAATGTAACTCATCCTTAGTAAATTTTAAGGTTATTCCAAATATTACTGTTACAAATAATTTTAACTTTAACGGTAACCGGCGATATGGTGCAACTCACCCTTAGTTTCATAAATAACAAATTAGAATTCTGAAGTAGTAATTAAATGGGATAAACCTTTCTCAATGAACGATTAGTAGATTCTAATTGATTAACCGTCCGTTTTAAAATCTTAATTCTGCTACCATACAAAGTAAATACATAAATAATATATCAACAAACCGTAATAGTGGCAAGGTAATAGAATAAATTAGGGGTGGACTAACAAACGGGTCGTATAATTTGTCGGTGACACGAATTAAACAGGATCGAGTTTGAAACCCTTACCTAATTAGCAAGGATGAGTAAATGTGTGACGTTCCTTCTATGAGAGATATCTTTAATTTTTATAGGTATTTAATATGTAGTTATATAAAAAGTAGTAAATAAAAGTTCAAAATTAATTTTATGAAGTATTTTTACAACATGCAAATAGAAAAAAAATCATTTAAAAATTCCTGTAAACATTTTAAATAATATAAGCCTTAGGGCCTGTCCCACCAAATTGTATATTGTCTGATAACAATCTAACGTTTAAAATATATGATGGAAAT